TTGCCCCTCCCACAATTACCGAAGCCAACCGAATAAAACCCACGTCACCCTCGACACGCGCGTCTTTGTCGGCAGAAAGAGGAAAGACTTCAAAACTGACTAATGGTAATGACGGTCACGCAGGAACGGCTGCGGCCGCGGCCGGCACAACAAATGATGTGAAAATTATCGGACCCGCTGGCCCTCCGCCTCCGTAGATTCAGCTATCCTACAACTAGATAGTAGAAAATGAAAAGGTGAATTACTAGAATTACATCAAGCCTCACTCTCAGCTGAAAGGCAGACACAAAGCAAGGGCTTTGTAGTGTGTGAGACCGACCAGGCAGACACTGTTTCAGATTCAGTTCTTTTAACCCTAATATGACAGCTGCAATCCGACAACAGCACTACGACCAAGATCTTTCCATTTCGGTTTTCTGATCGATAGAAGTATCGGTTTGCTGGATACAGATCCTGATTTACTTACATTACAGCTAGTACACATGTATGTTGACAATCGGTATGAAGATCAACTTCGGTTTTTTATCCGCAGTCGGTGGCGCGAACCGCGGAGTGATGTGTGCAAGCAGGGTTGTGGAGGTCATCAACCTCTGCCTTGTACGCCATCGCGCCGGTTATTTCACTATGCCTTTCCAATTCCATGTGCTCCGCGCCCCGTGGTCACGGTTGCAAAAAAAAGGTCCTCATGAAGAAGAAGGCAATGTTGCGCACGATCTGATCATGCAATGGATTTGTTGCCGCTTTGTTTTCGGTAGTGGTGAGAAGAACGACGGTCGGGCCAGGAATACAGCTGCGTATTGCAAGGAACATGCAAAAGATAATGATCAAACACTTTTATTAAGCGTAAGCCGATGGACATAGACGACGTCGTGGTGCCTTAGCCTAGTAAAAGAGCCATTCCGCAACCCCAGCTTCAACGATCGCCTAGTAAAAGAGCCATTCCGCCTAGTAAAAGAGCTCCCACCTTCAACGATCGGGCCCGCAGCGATTGGACCGCATAAAGCGTACAGATCCGCGCACGCCCGGTGATCCGCGGTGATCCGCACCTGCGGCAAGTCCTGCAGCGTCTCCACCGGGATCGCGCCTTTTTCCCCCCTTTCCGGCATACCGACTTGCTCCTGCTTGGACAACGCGCCCGGCCGCTTCAGCTCCTTCTGCTTCTTCTCCGCCTCCAGGCCCTGGCCACCGAGGTACTGGGAAACGACCGGTTGGTAGGTGGCAATCTTCTCGTCGAGGGTTTTGCCGGAGTCCTTCTTCTTGTTCGCTTTCCTGGTCAAGGCCGTCAGCTCGTCTTCGTCCTCATCCGGCTCGTCGCCGAGCGCCCGCGGCCAGTCGATCTCCTTGCAGTACCCGCAGATAACCTTCACGCGGTGCGAGTACCGCGCGCGGAGCATGAAACCCTTGAAGTTCGCTTGCAGTTTGCAGACCAGCGCGAGAATAGCCGTTGGTGCGGCGTTGAGGATCTGCTGCGCCTTCTCCGGGTCGGTCTTTTCGTACGATTGGGACATCAACGCAAAATTGTGCGTGTTCAGTCCGTCGTCCGGGTGCTCCGGCTTCGGGATCGGGATCTGGCACTGCTGGATGTGTCGCACGTTGGATTTTGAAATTTTCGGACCTGCGCTCCCACCTTCAACGATCGGGCCTTCAGCATTGCTGCGCTCCCACCTTCAACGATCGGGCCCGCAGCGATTGGACCGCAGCGCCCTCCCGGTGGTTCTACTGCTAATACGGTAGGGCCTACAACAATAGGACCACAACCACCGGGTGCGAGACCTGCACCTCCGCCGCAAGTGGGACCCTCATTACAACCCCCAGCAGGAAGTGCTGCCAACATCGGTCCTGCGTTACCCCCCACAG